GACCTGGGTGAATTAAAACATTCACTCCACCATCCAGTGTGATTCATGTACCAGAGTCCCTGGTCAGGACGCCAGGAGGATTTTGTGAGGAAAAGGAGAGATTTAATTGCTCTTGGGATTCTACTTTGTGTCAGGCCTGAGCTATGTGATTTTCCAAACATTTTATCATTTAACTCCAATAAGAGTCTTATCTCCTGATTTTATAGATGAGGATATCAAGGCTTGGAGAAATGAAATACCTTGCCCAAAGCCTCTCAAATTCTAAGGCCCGTTGTGGGGTTTTCAGCTTGAATTCGTTCGATTCCAGAGCCCAGGAATCACAGAACTCTGTGATTTTTGAGACCTGTCATATGTCAAAATGGCTTTTTGTTTTTAATATCTTGATTCTTTTCCCCTTAGTGACTAACATTGTAAGCATTATGTTTTAAATAGAGAAAACTAGGTGGACTATATCAGAAAGACTTCAAGTCTAGAAATTGAAATTTTTATAAACATATAAATCTGTATATTTCCACATTCAGAAAATTCTCTAAGTTTACTACTTTTCTTTAGATTAGGCTCCACTGATGAGGCTACTTAGGGAAGATGAATATATTCTTATTTGAAATGAAATTTTTTACTATGCTGTCATTGATTAAGAATCAGACACACTGAGCTCTAGTCTGCTTTATTCTTAACTTTCTCTGTGATCTCGGATCTGTCATTTCTCCTGTCTTTGAAAAGGGGTTAATTATATAGCTTGTCGACCTTAAAAGCATTTTTTTGTGGAATTAAAATTATCAAAATGAAAATGATCTGATAAAATTATAAAACCCCATACCAGTAGGCATATTTATAAATGATACATTCTCCTAGTGGGATTTTTGTGCATTACTCATTTATCAACTATTTGTTGAATGTTATTCCGTGTCAGGTACTACACTAGGCACATGAAGTTACAATGATTTTTCATATGACCTGGTGTTTGCTTACTTGATTTTAAACTGCACTTAAAGGGGACTTGCAGATACTTCTCATTTTTATCTCCCTTACACAGTCTTAAATATATGTAATGCTTTTTAAATGTTTTCCTTGAATAGTGTTTTGCTTACCTCATGTCGTGAGGTCATAAGATGAGCTCCTTAGTATATATTGCAAGATTTTTTCTGTTCCAGTGTTCCAGTTTATAAATTTTCTTTTACAAATATAATATATTGAAATGCAAATAGCTTTCTGTGAATCCCAAAGAAAGAGGCTCCATGAGGATCTTTGGCATCAGGGAGGAAAGAAAATTCTCCACATATGAATTTGGAACTAAGGAAATTTCTACAGGAAAGCCCAGTTGTCAAAAAGGTACTTAATGAGCTTGACCTGTGAATAAAATGATTAAGAAGATGGCCAAGGGGGTAAGGTCAAGTTCAAAGCCTTATTATGGCACTTTTTTGCTGGGTGAGTCTTACCTGCATACCTAACCTCAGTTTCCTACCTGTTCAGTGGGAAAGATGAAAGGCTGTACCTTATAAGTTGCCTGTACAGGCCCAAGGGCTGGGCCGCACAGACAGGAAGCATGCTAAGTGATAACTCCAACGTCACTCTGACCATGAGGCATACTCCTTCCACTCTGCCCTTCATCCAGTCCTAGAAGGAGGTCCATGTGCTCCTAGACTCTTGTTCAGAGTTGGCACGAATTAGATTTGCCTTAAAGAGAGAGTGCCACAGTCATCTTTTTTAACATGGCATGAATCATTTCTACAAAAGGGATGAAGGAATTCTAAATATACTCATCCTCGATAGAGTCTTCAAGGACAGAACCACATTTACGATGGAATTCTAGTTCTTCCATAAAATGATTCCCAATTTGACATAAAGCATGTAGATGTCCTTTCATTTTTCTCTCAGAGTAGATCATAGTCTGTCACCTAATTTGATGGGCAGGTAGCATATGAATGCTTTGCCTCTGTGAGGTGAGGGTTGTTCCTTGTACACAGAGAATTGAGATCATTGCTGTAACCCCAGGTTAAGGGGGCTAGTGTCGTAATGAGAACGAGAAGGCTGGATGTGACCTGGTGATAGATGACAGGAGGAAGCTAATGTAAATGTGGGGAAAATCAAGGGGGAAAAAGTTCGGAGTTTCCTTTACAGTTACTTACAAGGTAAAATAGAAATTAACTGTCCCCATTTTTAGGATATAAGTATTACTCTCCTCTTCTTTAGTGTGAATCAGATATTATTAATTTTCAGTAACTGAGTTTGATATTTAGGATATTGAAACCTGTTGGTTTCATTCACAGCTGATGGGTTTAAATGGACTCCTATTTAGGGATGTTGGCAGTATAACAAATATTTGACTACCAAACATAATAAAAATGAACATTTAGTTAATTTTTGATTGTGTACTTATTTCCAAAGGAAAATATTTCATATGTGATTCTCCTTTCTCTGTACTCTACTTAAAATGTATGTAGATGAGAGTTGTGTGTATGTCAGGTAAATTTATGCTGTGGTGCGCTTGAAGAACATGGTGTGAATCTCTAATTATGTTAAAAAAATGATTTTCTTAGTGCAGCATTATACTCATTATATACTCTACACATTCCATTTTTGAACAGATTCCTGGCAAGATAATTATATAATCATTCAGTACAGTAGAAACATCATTATGGTCACATACTAATTAGCTACTAAAATGAAACAAAACAGAACCTAGTTCACAGCTTATTATAAAAAGTGATTTAATATTATATAAAACTAAATGTATGGTTAAAATTATTATTTGCTTTAAATGTGAATCTTTTTCCCCTATGGGACACGGGAAGGAATCTCTGTTCTGGATGCTTATTACCTAATTTATTGGTTGGGCACATGTTACATTTTATTATCAGAGCCCTTATGACTAGACCTGTGTAGTAGAGCATCCAACAAACCTGCCAGTAGGAATTCTAGGCTCAGTACCTGGATGTGCCTCAGGGCTTCTGCAGAATCAGGATACTGGCCCGAGTCTTCAGACCATATTATCTCTAAGCCTCTGGGAACATGGGGTTAAGCAGTAAATCACTCATTTCCGGGATGCTGGCTTAAACATCTTTGGTGCTGAGGATAGGTGATCCTCAACTGTTTTTCTTCTCCACGTTGCACATTAGGAATATAGTATTGTCTTGCTGGTAACAATGAATCCTGGCAGTTGTGATTCTCCAGGTGTGTTTGTGATGGGACAAGTCAGGTGACACGTAAGCTCTGGTAGAGGGCAGTAGGAGGGCACCAATAGGTTGGCAGATCCTTCAGGTAAGTCTGTTAGCATTGCCCTCACTATTCTTTAGAATTGCTTCTGTGGATAAAATAGGGTTTTACCCAGTATGTCAAGGCTTCAGTGTCCTTTGTAAATACGTTTTTGACTACACAGCTTCAGCCACTCTTCTCTCGCACATCTATGGAATCTCGGTGAACATAAGTGGTGTAAGCTAGGTTGTGTGATCCTGATGCATACTATAAGCCATTAGGAATTAGAGACATTTTTATTGCTGTGTTGTCGCTTTTGGTATCTCAGAATACTATTTCTATCATAAGAGCTTCTCCCGATAAACGCTTTATAAGTCAAACATTTTATAGATTTTATGCTACATGCTCGCTCTTTTCTTTTGTGTTTTCCTGTTGTCCTTCACTTTAGTTTTGACCACTGCAAGTATTAGTTTTACTTCTTATGCGATCTGCAATGCGATTGAAATACACAGAACACACGTAGAATAAAAGAGCACGACTACGCTTTCTAATGCACTAAATACACAATACTAGCTGGTGTCTGCCATCTTTGATGTAGCTGCTATGGGTCAGGGGGAGATGGGGTTGCTATTTGACTATTCAGTTCTGTGGTCCTGCAGTTACAAAATTGTATAGGAAACCAAAATATTTCAATCAAGAAAATATTCACTAATGAATCAGTGAGTTATATTATTCAAACATCCTCTTTGAAATATCTTTTGATTTATTTGAAGATAATCTGATTCAAATTGATCATAAAGTAAAATCATAAATCTTTCAAAGACTCTGTTTCATGAAGTCTGTGATATGATGGTCTAGAACATTTCTGCTCACAGGCAAAGCCATGAAACAGTGAGGATCTTCAACTAAGAATTCTTTGAATATCAAAGAAATTAAGAAGAGGACTTTAGGAAAAATGATGAAGTCCATGAATATTTTTTACAAATGCAGTTATGTTTAAAACCATCCTATAAAAATTAAATGCGTGAAGGTGTCATAATGTGCTAATATAAAATATTGTTGGAAAAAGTCTGCCAGAAACTCCAGTTCATTCATTTTTTTGCTCATTCTAAGAATTGCATGTAGTTTTAAATAATTGTCTAAACTTATTTTAATAGTGTGTGTTGTCCTTTTTCTAGCTAGGCCCAGTCAAATCTTTTTTAGCACTATTTGTATAAAATTTTAACACCCTTTTTAAGTGGAGCTACTTGAAATGATCTTTTTTCCAGAACCAACTCTCTTGGGGAATAAGGACCCCATGTATATAAAATAAATGTGTGATTCTGCATGGATAGCCATACATTTTTGTTGTCTTTTAGTGGTCTAAAATGAATGTCAGGATTTTAACTGAAATTAATTGTGGCTAAAGTACAAATAGGCAATGTATGTGTTTTCTTACTCAGCGAGCTTAGGCAGGGATCAGGAGATTAGTTGGATCAAGCTGATTATTTTAGAAAGGCTAATAAAACCATGTGTTATATAGGTCATTTTCTGGGCCATGGAAATAACTTTATTATAGTTCTATTAATGTCTTCCATTTGTATAACATTTTATTCTTAGAAAGTGAATCATTATTTCATTACCCTTTGTAGTGTGTGTTATTTGTGATGAAATTGCGTGTTCTCCAAAAATTTTACCAGAATGTGTTCCTTATAAGTCCTCTCCGTGTGTTGACTCTATGTCTACAAGCTGAGTCTTTACACATAGTGTAAAAGAAGTAGAAATACTGTTTTAAGACCCGAGTAGTGAAGCAGCTGTTTTTGCAGGTATCTTGTGGTCTGTAATCCTTCAGAACAAGACCGAATCTCAGTGGTCTCAGTCTATGTGAGTTCCCCCACAGCACAAGTGTCTTCTGCTTCCGGAAAGCCTGTGGAAATTCAGATGAGTGCAGTTTGGAATACAGCAACTACTATTTCACAGACAGCCTATGAGGTACGTTTTCGCCGTAGAACTTAAAGAGGCACCATTAAAAAAGCATAGCCAGTATGTAGTTTATATATGTATCCATGCTCCCTTTGAGTCATCACATTGGTGTATGTGAAGTGGTTAAAGTTGTGGATACCAGGGGATTTAACTGACCAGTTAAATGACACTAAAGGAAAAGAGATCCTGTGTTTCCTAGAATACTAATATCTTCTTTAGTGTGTATATCACATGTTATTATTAGTATGTTATTAGCATGTATATTGTATATCTTTGTAAGTATTGGAACTTTTTCCTGAAGTAATGAAGTCATCATTACCTAAAAAATTTTGAAATTCTTTGTTTAACTCAATTCAGTAACAGTTATGCACACTGAAGTTGAGATAAATAACACCTTTTCTAAATAACTTAGGTCCTTTCAGCGTTTCATTGCAAAGGTGACGTGACACACCATAAAAGAAGGACTTCCTAAAATAGAGGAAGGTGCTTTTTACCTGAGATACAACTGTGGAAAGCCTGGCCTGAAGTAATAGACATTTTTGGAGAAAATTTCTTAAAGTAATATTAAACTGGACCCCCGCATCACTAGAAAAGTTGAATTCTTGGAGTCTCGAGTGCAAATTAAACTGTACTTCTGAAGACGCAGCCAAAAGCTAGGAACTCTAAATGAGAATTACTTTGCTTGTTAAAAGCCATTGCTGGCTGCTTTCATAAATTCATAATCCTTTAGTTAGAAAGGAGAAGATAATAGAAGTTTTGGTCAGATGTTACAGGAAACAGCCTATCTAGAAAAGGGAGGAATAGCTCCTAGAAGGCAGAGGTCACGACTTACAGTGTGTGTGCATCCTCTGTGCTTTGTGCATTGTCTGCTGGACCCCAGGCATTCGATGGCCATGGTTAGCCTGCCTAATATTTATAGTATTACATTTACCACTTTTATTTTTAATGTACTTGAAACCATAGTATAAAAAGGGTCCTGATAATTAGGAAAAATCGTTGTTCACCTAAAGCTCCTACCTTCATGAAGCATTTTCTCCTCTGAGCATCCATTAAGAGCACCAGAGGACAATTGAGGTTGCTCGTATAATTTCATATATTGAATGAAAGCATTCATGCTTTTGATAGTCCTACCAACCTGAAGTTATTAGATTCCCTGGATAAACGGAAATGTGGATACTCTACCCATAAATTCTCAAAACATCTTTAAAGTAGAGTATTAAATTCTTTTTAAAATACGGTAGTTTTTTTGTTGTTGTTCTTACTAGATGTATAAATCCTTTTCTTTCAGTAGATTGCATTTCTCTTTAAAAAAATTCTCTCCTCTGTCTTTTAAAGATCTCCTTCCTAGTGCAGATGCCACCACTCGGACTGAAAGTGTATAGAATTTTGGAATCAGCAAGTTCAGACCCACATTTAGCTGAGTATGTGCTGCATAATGGTAACGTAAAAGATAAAGGAATTTTCAACATGAAGAATGTAAAAAGTACTGAAGAAGATATAACTCTAGAGAACTCCTTTGTTAAACTTCGGTTTGATCAGTCTGGGCTTTTGGAGGTATGTTCTGAATAGTTTCCAAATTCATGGAAGGCTTATCACTTTTATTATAATATGTGCAGATTATGTATGCAGAGGGGGGAAAGTCGATGCAAATACTCTGGGAGAAAGGATGGATGAGCTATATGTATCTGATATATGTGGTCCACTGTGACCACTTGCTCCTAACAAGGGTGGTCTGTGGGTGGTGCTGCTCTGTGAACTGTTACTGGTCCACAAGATAAGTATAGAAGCTGTAATGGTTGAGAAAAATGTTTGTGGAAACTCTGAAAGCACAATGACACAATAAATTTATGCCTACTGAATCTAATAATAAAAAATTTGAGTGTATATTTGGTATATCACTTTAAATTTAATTTTTCTAGTAATTCACTCTTATTGTACTTCACAAAAATATTGGTCCATGCATACTGGAAATAAAAAAATAAACCTGCTTCTTCAGTACAGAAAGTTTGAGAAGCACTGGTCCACATCTCTTAATTTGTGTATCTCTTTCTTCCTTAATGAAGTGTGTTCTTTTTGTTTCTATTGTGAAAGTTTTAAATTCTAAGTATTAGCTATAAAAGTATACTTTTAAATATAAGATTTTGGGTGTTCATCCAAGAATCGTGAACATTAGAGGCTGAATGTTAGCATTTTTCTGTCTGTCTTGTGGTTTTTTCGTGTTTTTTTTTTAATCAACATATACATGGAACCCGATGCAACATCATTAAAATCTTAATATAGTAAGTTGCTTTTAAACATTGTTTTTATCCTTAGGAAATGATAAATAAAGAAGACAGTAAACATCATGAAGTAAAAGTGCAATTTTCATGGTATGGAACCACCAGTAAAAAGGACAAAAGTGGTGCCTACCTCTTCTTACCTGATGGGGAAGCCAAGGTAAGTGCCAATGAACTGAGCTGTGAATAAGCATTTATTGAAAGAGTAATGAAGAAAAAAATAAGTTCATCTCATTATTTTGTCATCTGTTAGGTATAGATGAGTTGGTTCCACTATTATATTTCCTTATTGACACTTGGCAATCGGTAGTCGTGAGTGTTAGGTAAACAAATAATTTTTCAGGGTTGGAATTCATTAAGGTGCTACAATGAACAGTTGCTCTCCATGGAAAGAAGCCAGATTTGTTGGAGGGTTCAGGTGCTGTTGTGGTGTTCTGTGTGGCACAGCACATATACAGAGACAAATTATCTAGCCATAGGAGAAAAATAATTTGTCCAGTGGGCCATTTTTCTCCTTAACTTTCAGCACTTTAAAAAACAAAAAAAATTTTCCCTCCCCTTGACTGTAAAGGTGTAATAATATATACAAATTTTGGCACATTTTTGAAAATGCAGAAAACTGAAGAAAACAATAAAATTTACCAACTATTCCAAAGGCCATGCAAACCACTGCCAACATTTTGATGTATTTTTTATTGTCTTACTGTGCATATCCCTTTCTCCCCCATTTTCACTGTTGTGACAGTGCTCACAATCAAATGGTATATTCTTCGAAAACACATTTTTAATATATACTGTTGTGATTAAAGGTCTGAGGGTCCAATGTCTAACATGGTGACTGTAGTTGATAACACCATATTATATGATATGCTGAGAGAGTAGAACTTAAATGTTTTCACACACACAAAAATGTATATATATGTAAAAAAAAAAAAAAAGAATTTCCTATTGTTGCATATGTAGATTTTCTCCCAATACTTCACTACTGTAACATTGTGATAAGCTTTCTTTGTAGCATTCTTTTTATGCAGTGATGATTATTTCCTGAGAATAACTTTCTAGAAGAGTTATTTTGTGTCAGTGGATGAGGCCTTTAAGACTTGATACAGGGGCGCCTGGGTGGCTCAGATGGTTAAGCGTCTGCCTTCGACTCAGGTCATGATCCTGGAGTCCCGGGATCGAGTCCCGCATCGGGCTCCCTTCTCGGCGGGGAGTCTGCTTCTCCCTCTGACCCTCCTCCCTCTCCTGCTCTCTGTCTCTCATTCTCTCTCTCTCAAATAAATAAATAAAATCTTTAAAAAAAAAAGACTTGATACATACTGGGGCGCCTGGGTGGCTCAGTTGTTAAGCATCTGCCTTCGGCTCAGGTCCTGGTCCCAGGGTCCTGGGATGGAGCCCCGCATCAGGCTCCCTGCTCTGCGGGGAGCCTGCTTCTCCCTCTCCCACTCCCCCTGCTTGTGTTCCCTCTCTAGCTGTGTTTCTCTCTGTCAAATAAATAAAACCTTTAAAAAAAAAAAAGACTTGATACATACTATTTCTCTGTCCTCTAAAGTGACTGCATAAATATTCGCTCCCACCAGCATTTTTGAGAGTAGCTCTCTAATATACCACTCCAAGCACTGAGAATCAGTCATATCAAAAGCTTTACCTATAATAATGGGTGAAAAATATTTTACTGTTAAGTTTTTGTGATTATTAGGGAAGCTAAACTTCATACATTTATTTCTCTCTCCTATATCTTTTGTGAGTTACATATATAAGTTCTTTGACCATTTTTTTTACTGGTATGACTTACGGATCTATAAGCATTCTTTATATATGGTAAAAATTAATCCTTTTTCCTATATACTGCAAAATGTTCCATCAGTGTGTCATTTAATTTAATTATGTTATGCTGTTATAGTATTTTTTTTTAATTTTTGTGTAGTCAGTTCTGTATTTTTTTCTTTAGAACATCTTCCTTTGCTTTTCTACTTATATAGGTTTTCTCTACTTCAAGATAAGTTAAATATTCTCCATATTTTGTTGCCTAGAAACCTGTCTCCTGCAGAAGTTACTGTTGTTCTTCAATTTCGAAAAACCTGTTAACCGAAATCAAATAATAGATTTTATTTTATTTTATTTTTTTAAAGATTTTATTTATTTATTTGACAGAGAGAGACACAGAGAGAGAAGGAACACAAGCAGCAGGGGTGGGAGAGGGAGAAGCAGGCTTCTCGCTGAGCAGGGAGTCCAATGCGGGGCTCGATCCCAGCACCCCGGGACCATGACCTGAGCTGAAGGCAGACGCTTAATGACTGAGCCACCCAGGCGCCCCAAATAATAGATTTTAAAGAATAGCATTGACCGTTCTAAGGAGTCTAGTTTTTTGTTGTTTCGATTTTTTTTTTAATCAGTGAGGAATTAAAGGTAAACTACAGCTCATAGTAGCCGTTCTAGGAAGGGTAGTGGATCCTAAGTATAAGCTGTATCAGTCTGTTCTCACTTGGACAAGAATTTGGGTTTTGGGTTTTTTTTTTTTTTTTTTAAGATTTTTATTTATTTATTTGAGAGAGAGAGTCAGAGAGAGGGCACAAGCAAGGGGAGCAGCAGAGGGAGATGGAGAAGCAGGCTCCCTGCTCAGCAGGGAGACCAACGTGGGGCTTGATTCCAGGAACCTGGGATCATAACCCCAGCCAAAGGCAGACGCTTAACCGACTGAGTCACCCAGGCACCCCAGGAATTTGGTTTTGATTGACTGTTCTTATACCAAAGAAAAAATGAAAAATAACAATACTTCTGGAATATTATGCATGGACAATTGTGACTAATTTATTTAAAATTATTCTATCTTTAAATAGCTCTAATATTAAATTAAAAAACCAAGAGAATTATCATATATTTACAAAGAGAAAATAAAAGACTATCAGGGAGGCAGGTGGGTGCATCAGAAACAGGTAGGAGCCCAGAAATCCCCATGCCAGCTTTCATCTTCTTCCCTTACTTTTTAGCTATATGGTAAAATTAGGTCCAAGAACTTTGTAAACTCTTAATGCATTATATTAATTTCAGAATATTTTTTCTAGAACCAGAGAGGTACATTTGGAAGAAAATTTCACAGTTGTGAAAATCTGATGCTACTTAAGTAGTTCGCAATGCAAGCCTAGCTCGTCATGCCATTGTTGAGCTTCTGCAGCCTGTAATGCTTAAGAAAATATAATTCCTTCAAAAAAAAAGAGAAAATATAATTCTTCATAAATGCTTTCAATGTGTCCCTATGTCACAGACGTATGTTCTGTTCCTGATTTTTCTTGACAACTAGATTCGAAATGACGAAACCTTAAACCAGTGGTTGCCATAGTTTTTTCAAGTTTGTAAATTTGCTTTATATTCAGCTAGTTCTTTCTAGTAAAAGGGCAGTGTGTTTTATAGACTAGTAAACCTAACTGTGATTAAGCAATTCTCTGAATCCTGCTTTCTGTTTGCTTAGATGACTCCCTGTGGTCATCCTTGCCACCTGCCCGACCCCTGAACATTAGGGGGCCACGGTTATAATAAACGTTTGCCTGGGAAAATGTCACTGCTGTAGAATGAATGGTATTTCTAATAAATAGCACATGGACAATATAGAAGGGTTTTAATTAGAAATTTTTATAGCTGGGAGGGAATGTTTGTAGATCACCTAGGCCAGTCAAGTTGTAAACATTTTTATTTTCTATTTTCAGCACTTTTTGTCTAATGAAAAACCTTATACTCCATTTTTATAGCATGCGCCTGTTCTGATACCTTGTAAGGTTTTGTTTTCACTTGAGATTGCAAATATCAGGTGGTATGTATTTGCCATTTGGGAAATGATAATAAACATCCCTTGGAAAAGTTAAAAGCTGAATTTTTTTCTTAAAAATGTCATTTCCTCCTCAGCCTTATGTTTACACAACACTGCCCTTTGTCAGAGTGCAACGTGGAAGGTTTTACTCAGACGTGACTTGCTTTTTGGAACATGTTACCCATAGGGTCCGACTGTACAACATCCAAGGTAAGAAAACAAAGCAATAGCTGTGAAACATGTACTCTGGTTCTAGAATTCTTTGTGTGTCGTCTTTAATAAACTAGCAATTGGTTTTTTTTGTGTTTTTTTTTGTTGTTGTTGTTATGTTATGTTAATCCCCATACATTACATCACTAGTTTTAGATGAAGTGTTCCATGATTCGTTGTTTGTGCATAACACCCAGTGCTCCATGCAGTACGTGCCCTCTTTAATACCCATCACCAGGCTCACTCATCCCCCCACCCCCTCCCCTCTAGAACCCTCAGTTTGTTTCTCAGAGTCCATCGCCTCTCATGGAGCAATTGGTTTTTGAACATGGTATTTATGGTGGTCTTTCCTAAACTTGTCATTATACTCACTGTGTGGTTTAAAAATATACTTAGCCTTTTGATAATCAGAAATGGTAAAACATTTAACTCTACATATGTATGTTCTTTCCCTATATATATCTCCTCTTACGTCTCATAATATTTGTCTTGGTCATGAGTTCATTAATTGGAATCTTTATTTCTAAGATCTAAAAACAGTGGGGTTTTTTGTTGTTGTTTTAATTTTACAAAATGGGAATTCTGTCAATTACGGCTTTCAGTTAGTAGATCATTGACCGTCTCTGACATGCACACACCCCCCCCACGTATGGCCTGCCTTAAATATGGAATGTATTACAATAGCAGGTGTTACTGGAATTTAACTTTCTTTTAAGAAAAACGTTCGTTACTAGTTCTTTCTGTTTACAAGTCTTTACCTGGGAGAGTATAAAATCGGGCGATTGTTTATTGCTTTTAGGATGGGACTGATGAGCAGCATCTTTATCAACCAAGTGACAGTAAATAGGCTTTTAATCCTCTTAGGGACTTAACCATGGGCAGTGGTTCTTGTCCTTCCTTAGGATTTGGATGGAGCCGTGGCTCCCAGACACCCTCAGAGTTGCACATTTATGTTGGTTCATGTTGAATTCACTTTTTTTTAGAATGGAGTACTTTTCCAACCACAAATTTAATCCTAGTAACCAGACCACTTAACCATGGTATCAACTCTCTTAGAAAAGGACCTCATAAAAATGCCACTTTAGATTCTTCTTTGCTGTTAGCTAGGCTGAAAAAGTTAGAAAAGGAAATATTGTTTCCTTGAATCTTTATACCAGTAGATAATAAAGCGTTTGAAAACTAATGATAAAATATATGGGCAGGCGCTGTTTGCTTTTTGGGTTTTGTGGGGAAGCAAAGGGTACTGTGTTCAGGGAATGTTCACTTTGCTACCTACAAGAAAGTCTGAAATAATCTTTTATTGAGTTTTATTGAGTTTTCTAAAATCTCTGGTAAGCCAGAAACAATATTTTTGACCATCCTTTTCTACTCTTGCATAAGCCATTGTTCAACATCTCTGAGAGCTCTAAAATTATACCTTCAGCTATGGCCAGAGGTTTCATTTTATGGGTAGAAAGTAGCATCCCCATCACACAGGAGATGTGCTTATCTGCTTTTAGATTTGCTTAAAAAACTGTTGCTTGTAATGGAATGTTTCTTCCTTGAGTACAGCATGGCCCCCACTTTGGCCCAGGCCTGTGTCATCAAGCATGGTTTACTGTTGTTTTTCCTTAGGTCTAATTAGGAGGTAGGCTGTGTGACAGAGTTAATGCTGAAGCAGCTCGCCAGAGAATTCCTACTTTCAGTCAAGTCCGTTTGCTTAATTGCTTTTCTTTTTGTTTAAATGAGTCTGTCACCATCATTGCAGCCTCAGAGTTTTCGCAGGTTGTCCAGGGGATCTGGAGCTCATCACAGAGGATGGTTTCCGTAAATTAGAGGGCCCTCTTCTGCTGCTGTGACTATAAGCTTAGTTTGCCGTCATATCCCAGTGGTTGATTTGGAAATTAATAGGCTCTGACTTGCCTGTGTACTCAACCCAACAAACATGCATTTACCAGGCCCTAAAAGCTTTTCTTTTCTCCTCTTTCCTTCTCCCCAGCTAAGCAGTCCAAAATGCCCAATGGCTGACTAGTAGCCCCTTTGCAGAACCAGGAACCACCAAGATTTAACTGCCTCCCAGCCCTCCAAGGTGACAATGCCAGTGGATTGGTCAGTTAAGAAAGAGAAGTTGTTCTCAACTGGACGCTTAGAGTATTAGCATAACAAAAATAATAATAATAAAATAAGAATACAGATCTCGAATTGCCTCTGGATGTCACAATGGGTGGAATAAACAGGGTGAAGCATTTGGATGAGATTTCTGTAGCTTGAAAGCAGAAAGCTTCAGAAGTTGGTGGGAAACGACAGATAAATAAGTTAGGTATAACGTGAAGTTAACTTAGAGTGCTTCTCCAGATGGGTTTTACTGTTCTTGGCTTGGATTGAACCTGAAACCAGCGTGTATAACCATTCGAAGTGACATAGCAATCTTTATTTTTGCTCTCTCAAGCCCAGAGTGTTTATATTTTTTGTTTTTTTCCAACATGAAAGCGATCGGTGGGAGATGGAGATACCAGTTCACCTGAAAGGCTTTCATTCAAACTATACATCCTTCTATGTTTGTATCTGAGCCCCTCTCAACAAATCTCCCTCTTGGAAAAAATAAGCCCCGTTGTGGAGAGAGAGCCTCTTCTCAGTCGCCTTCCTGACCTCCCTCCATCTGTCGTTTTCTTTCACATACCGGTGCATGAAGGCTCAGGTTGTCTGGATCCTGGCTCATTGGGGTTTTAATTAAATCACTGGTCGAAACCTAAGGAAGAGATGTGAGGTCTTCAGGGTGTTTGGATGTCGACGAGTTCAAAGTGCCTGAATGGGGTCTGGTTATGCTGCACCAAAGCAGCCATACTGTGAAATACTTGAAAGCTCTTCGGTGTTTTAAACTTCGGCCTCATGTAAACCAGGTATCTGGGCGATTGATCAAAATCCATGGACAGGATGTAGCTTTTCGTCTTAGGTGTAGAGAAAACATCAGCCAACTTCCATGCTTTTGTCGAGTGGCTTGTGTTTAATATTTCTTGAAAGAACGTAAATACCTACTTTCAAATTTAACTTTCTAAATTGTCTTTGGATGTATGCTAATTGTGCCCCCTTTAAATCAACTGACCAGATGCAGTTATTCGGATGAGTATTAATGAATAGAGCCTGTTTGTTGTTAGTACCAAATTTATGAGCCAGAAAAAAATGGGGCTTGGGGGAGAGAAACTATTAATATTTTATGATTAGGTACTATAATGGTATTAGGTTACTAAACCATTAATTATACAAAAGATTTTATTACCTCTCAGCAACAAGGATAAAGAAACAGAAGAGTTGATATTATGGAATATCTGTCTTTATTGAGAGTCTATATTAAATGTTTCAAATTCAGTTTACTTGAAATATTCTTTTAAAAAAACTAAAGTAATACAAACCTGATAAAGTATCCTTAAATTCCTCAGTCTCTATTTTAGTTACTCTTTGACCGTTTTCTCCCCCAAAGTAACCTTTGGCTCCAATTAAGCTTTGGGAGAGAACAAAAGCAAGAACAGAAATCAAACAGCACTTCCCAGATTATAAAAACTGTGTGGTCATCATTGATTTTGCAACAAACTGAGTTGGGAGGCGTAGGTTCAACCAACTTTGTTTTTTTGTTTTTTGTTTTTTTCTTGGTGTTTTATATTTAAGTTTTAGTGTCTATTTGTGTTCTCTCCAGATTCTGAAAATGGTCAGAGGTGCAGTTTAGAGTCCTCTCTTAACATCATTTAAGCTATTAAAAAACACTCTTGTGTTTCTTTTCATTATTGTTCAAACATTACATTCAAAACGTTTCTAGAAATATTAAATTAGAGGAAATCTTGTGCTCACTAGCTTTAAAAGCTCTACAAGATCAGAGGGATTTGAAAGAGTTCTAATGCAACACAATGTATCGCCTTCTATCAGGTTAAATAAGAAATCCATTTTGTAGCACCCATAATTTAATGAAATGCCCTTTTGGAACTTTTTTTTTTTAATTTTTCAAAGATTATATTTAGTTTGTAGAAAATAACATTTTTCTGGAGGAAAAGATGGGAGAAATGAGGATTAATTTTTCTTGCACTATAATCATCTTTCATTAAATTGAAGCTTTTCATGTCACTAAGGCTACTTTAGCTTTTTTTTGTTAATCTTGATTTGGAAGATAGAATGTGATACAGGCAGAAGCCCCTGTATCCCCTTACGTTATATTTGTTTCATCACAACAAGTGCATACCTTGCAGTGACATCATGATCAGTAAGTGGCATTTGCTAGCTGTGGCTTCATTTGTCTTTGGAGTTGTAATTATTAGACTTTGGTGCCCTAGTTTTTTGACATCAACAGCTACTTTGAAGAATGAGGTTGCTATGGGTTACCAGTGTGTCCTGTACATTTTCACTAGCACAAGGTTCAGGTTCCAGATCGGTTAAAATATATACCTTCAAGCTTCCCTCCGCCTCTCCGCCCCAGGACTACGTTCTCCTAGGTGGGTGTTTGTGAATGAATGAGTATGTGTGTAAACCATGTTTCAACCCTTAAGAGAAATATCTAAATGCAATACTTTTGCCTATTTTCCACCAACATACTATGAAAGTACTATATGTAATGGATCTTGCTAAAAGAAAGCAAGTAGCCTGGAGGTAAAATGTAATGAACTGCCATCAAAAAGTATGGAAGAAAAGACTTTCCTTTGGCTGCAATGACTGAGTAATTTCCTTGCATGGACACATTTAGCATTCAAAAAGAGGTCGCTTAGTTTTTCTCTGTTTTGAATATGTAATATGATTGGATTCATAACATGACCCTTGACTTTTAGAAAGTCAAAATGAACTCCATCTAGTTAAACACATAAGAGAATCACACTGGGAATTAGAGGTCTGAATCCTCAGTTGTGCCTTGAAGCCAACCAGTGACCTTGAGTTTGTCCTTAGATTTCTTACGGACTCAGTTTCTTAAACTGTAGAAAGACTAGATAGATGGCCAATTAGGTATAACCATTAAAGAGTCTTCACAAAACTTAGTATTACAT